ACAACAACAACAACAACAACAACAACAACAACAACAACAACAACAACAACAACAACAACAACAACAACAACAATGTCGACGACCGTGGCAGACGTCTGCGAAACCAGCGTGGATTCGCAGCGTGGACGAGGGATCAGCAGCGCAGGAGGCGGGGCTGCAGCCAGGCGACTTTGTACTCAAGGTGATGGTGATGGTGATGGTGGTGATGGTGATGGTGGTGGTGATGGCTTGTGGTTTACGAGTGTTGTGGGCGATGTTGGTGGTGATGACTTGCGCTTGCCTGCTTCACATGTTTGTTCGGCGTGCAAGGGAATCAACGTTTGGCGTGATCTCCATCCTCGCCTGCCCCATCCCCCATTCTGTTGTGCACTCTCGTGCTCACCTTCACCTTGGCTGATGGCTCAACTTTCTTGTATTGTCTCAGGTTAACGACGTCGTGGTGACACAACACGAGCACTACGATGTACGTGAGCAACAAGACTGGTGGCCGTGTTTGAAATTGCTTGTGTCGTGTTGGTAGAATCACCTTTGCTTGAACCCTTTGCACGCACACACGTGCACGCACACGCGCGTGCACATATTTGTGCATGAGCTGTCGTTAAACTCACACACACACACGCACGCACGCACACACACACAAACACACACAAACACACACACACGCACGCACGCACGCACGCACACGCACGTACCATCTCGTCGCGTGTGTTCAGGTGGTTGACTTGATTCGGCAGTCTGGTGACAGCGTCACACTCATCACCCGCTCCCGCGCAGTGCACGAACGCATGTGAGTGACGCTGGCTGCTGTTGCGGTGATGGTGGCGTTTGCGTGGATGAATGTGTTTGGATGTGGGCAGGGTGACTGTGTTCTGGTTCAAAGGAAAAGAGACAGCAAGCACATGCACGCACAAGACCCTATTGTGTTCGCCTACTCATATCCGCTGCCACCACCACCACCACCACCACTGTCATCATGTTCACAACGGTTGTTGGCATTGCCACCAGGGTGCGCGAGCAGCAGCGTGGAGAGGCAGCCCGACGCGCCTCCAACGGCTGTCTCAGCTTCACCCAGACCCAGTACACCTACCCTTCAAGCATTGGCAAGCAAATCAAGGTACAGCGGTGGCTATGGCTATTGTTGGCGGTGGTGGTGTTTGTTTAAGTTGTTGTGCAGCGTTCGTAGATGGCTGTGCACGTACTCTCACACGCTCAACCGCCCATGAACAACGGTTTGTGACGCATCTCTCATCACGCGTACCTCCTCTCTCTCTCCCCCCCCCCATCCATCTCACTCCACCCCTCAAGGCTGTTGAGCTGCTTGAAGAGTCGCCCGTGTGCATCGCGGCCGCGCGTGCGTGTCTGCAACTCTTCATCTCGGAGGACAGGAACCTGGCGCACGTCATGCGCGGACAAAACTTCCTCCCCGGCGATGGATTGGAGGGGCGTGGCGAGAGCGTTGGGGAACGCCCACCAATGCGTGTTGCCAGCATTGGAGGAAGACACGCTGTCCGTGCACGGCAGGCGAGCTTCCGTGGCGGCGTTGGTGTTGCTGGTGGCAACGGCATTGCGAGTGGCGTTGGTGACGGTGCTCCTCGCGACGACGGCGACAACGACGATGATGATGATGATGGTGATGATGACGTCGAGGCCATGTTGGACGTGCCAGACTGGTTTGAGGAAGAGGTGAGCACAATTGCTTCCTTGTGTGTGTGTGTGTGTGTGTGTGTGTGTGTGTGTGTGCTTCACACCCACTGCAATTCCTACATCAAGCGGCGTGATACCTTACGCTCACTCTTCCGCGTGTTCTTTTCTGTGCTCTCCCCTCGTCAACCATCAGCTGACACCTGAAGCAAGGGACGCGTGCCTCAAGCAAATCTCAGAACGCCTCTCCACCTACGAGGTGCAAACAAGCAGACGCGCGCACACACACACACACACATGCACACACACACGTTTTGCTCAGCAGCCTTCATTTACGCACGTGTGTGCGTGTGTGTGTGTGTGTGTGTGTGCGTGTGCGTGCGCTTTTGCTTTTGCGCTGGTTCTTGCTTTTGCGCTGGTGTTCTTCGACTCACTCATCAGAAGCCTTCCCCTTCACACACACACACATGCATGTGCACATCCGCGGGTGTAACTCACCTGCGTGGCGTTGCGTCGCTGACGACAGCACATTGTTGAACACATTGGACGTATGGATGAGCAGCTTGTCACGTTCAAGAGCAGCATGAAGAAGACAGACGATCTCTTGGGTACGCGCACACTCATGTTCATACACATGTTCATGCTTTCACACACACACACACGCACGCACGCACACGCACACGCACACGCACGCACACACATGCGCGCTCTCTCCCTCTCCTCTCTCTCCCTCTCTCACCTCGCGCATGCCACTTCGCAGCGTTCCTCCCGACGAACCTTCACCACCAGAAGATGGAGGTGGCCGGTGACGCCGAGCACCTGGCAGCATACGCCTGGACAACAGTCGGCGTCTTCTCGG